CCTGCGAAAAGAGCATGTGACCATCCGGTCCTGCCCTGTTTCCAATCCATGTACGTATAATATCTATGGTTAGACGCTGGGCGACTGAGCTCATTTCTAGACGACATGGCTGAAGCTAGGGCTAAAGAAAGGCAGCAAGTTCAATCGTGTTTGGATGCATTTAAAATAGGAGATTATGACGAAGCTGTTCGGTTACTAGGTTTGGCTGATCCTACCTTACTTGGCCAGTATGTGTCTGGCCTGATTTATGACTGTATTAGTCATGATTGGTTAGATGTTACAAGAGATCTCGTCACTAAGTACCTCTTTGATCCACAAAAACACTACTACTATACTCGTGAATCCTGTCTTTCTATTGCTGCTAAAGGTAATCACGTTGATATAGTTGAGTATCTTATTAAAGAGTGTGGCTGTGATCCAATGATGAAGACTACTACTGGGTTTGGCAAGACTAGTACTGATCCTGTTCTTCATTATGTAGCTAGTGAAGGATTACTTGATGTCTTGAAGTGTATGGTCATGAACATTAATGGTCATATAATGGATAAACAATATCGTGATAACCGTGGCCGGACTGTTCTTCATCATGCTGTTAAACACATAGATGTTGTAAAGTACCTCATTAATGAGTGTAATTCTGATATAATAATGACTCCTGATAAAGATGGAAATACTATTCTACATGCTGCAGCTAGTGAAGGATTACTTGATGTCATGAAGTACCTCATTAATACTCATCAATGTAATCCAATGACAATTAACAAAAATGGTGAGACCATTCTTCATTGTGCTGTTAAACACATAGATGTTGTAAAGTACCTCATTAATGAGTGTAACTGTAATATAATGACTCCTGATAAGGATGGACGATCACCTCTTCATGCTGCTGCCTTGTGGGGTACACCTGAAGTTATTGAATTCTTACTGTCAACTGGTAATTGTGATCCTTTGGCTAAAGACAAGCAGTGGAAGCAGACACCATTACAACTAGCTAAAGAGAGATGGTATGATAGTGATACTGTCATTGCTATCTTCACGAAGTTTGTTAGCATTAAAATATCTCATCCAATTGATTCTTATGTTAACGTTCTCCTTGTGGGTAATCCTGGAGCTGGTAAAAGTACTCTTAGTCATGTCATCAATGACACAGCTACTGGTTCTATTACTTTTGGTTCCTTTAGAAATGTTGGAGGGGTAGTACCAGATACTGCTGGCATCATTCCTTATAAACTACAACACAGGACACTAGGTAACATCATTCTTCATGATTTTGCTGGTCATCCAGAATACTACTCCAGTCACAGTGCTGTCATTGAGAATCTGTTACAAGGTTCTGGTGGTGTGTTCCTGATAGTAGTCAATATATTAGAGAAGGAAGCAGTGAAACAGCTTCATCAGTGGCTAACAGTTGTGAGAAATGAAGCACAAAAAGCTCTTGATCAATGCCATGTTATTGTAATAGTCAGTCATGTGGATGAGATAAGTAATCCTGTTGAAAGAAGGAGAAAGAAAGAAATACAGATTATTGTAATGGAAAAGTGTGATAGTGTGTTCTTAGATTGTCGTAAGCTTGGTGGGAATGGTGTGGATTCCTTCTTTAATGAGTTGTCTAGTGCCTGTGAGTCCATTCGTAGTACAAGTGGAAGGAATTTGAGTCTTTATTGTCATATGATGTATGGTCTACTGGAGGAAAGGAAAGAGAATATACTGACACTCTCTAATGTAATGTCTGCTGGTAAGGACAATTACATTATACCAGATAAGAGAGAAGATGTCTTGGATGTTCTTCATTTATTGCAGTCAACTGGTTTGATCAGTGTTCTTAAAAGTGAAGACAAGGTATGGGTTGTTGTGAATAAGGGTATACTACTAACTGAAGTTGATGGGATTCTCTTTGCTCCAAAAGAATTTAAAAAACACAATAACATTGCCAGCAATACTGGTATTGTTAGTGTGTCTAGTCTGACTAAACTCTTCTCTAAATATGATCCTGACATGTTGATCTGTTTCCTGAAGAACATGCAACTCTGTCAAGAATTGGATCCATCTTTCCTAAGAATAACAAACCTCCATCAGTTAGGAGTGGGAGAGGAGGA